TTTCCAAGGTTCTAGGTTTGGTAGGAAGCTCTTAAAACCCTCTGCTACAGGTACTTTACTGGGAACCCCAAACAGGGAACCCCAAGAATATAGTAGGAATATAATAGGAATATACCTACCAGCGTCCTTATAGTCTATTATATTCCTACTAAATTCTTGGGGTTCCTTGTTTGGGGTTCCCATTTGAGCTATAGTCTAAACTCCTGGTATCCCCCCTAATAAGCCCTATAGTAATCCCATATATAATCCCCCAGATAACCCCCTTTAAGGAATTTAGACTATAGCTCATTTGAACCCTTTTATTTGTTGGAGGTCTGAGATGTGGCTTCCATGACCCTTGCAGAGCACAGGCCGGCACAATCGAGTAGATTCCATTGGGATTCAGTCCTTGGATGCGACTGCTTACTGCTTGGTTTAGGGCTTGGGGTTGAGGGTTAGGGGTTTAGGGTTTAGGGTTTGGGGTTTAGGGTCTGCTTGCCCTGCTTGCACATCGGGATACTATGAACAATTGTCGTGTAACCTGTGGAGTTTACGTAGCAGAAAATGTTGTGCAAACATTTTCTAGTTTGTGTTTAAGGGTGTTAGAGGGTATACAGCTGAAGGCTTCTAGGGTTTAGGGAAATTCAGGACTATAGAAAACCGAGCTCAAAAAGGAATAGAAAACATTGGTACTTATTCAGGCCCTGTAGGCTTCTGCAGTATAGAGATTGCTGTAAAAAACAGGTGGCTCAAGAAAACTGGCTGCGGGGTGGCGGATTGCAGGCTGGAAGTATCCCAGACCCCCCAAACCATCCAAAGCTGAAGCCCTCCCAAAATTACCCAATTCCACATTCGGGAACCTAGCAGAACTTGGTCAGGCTACAGTTTTTGGATCCTTTAGGGGGGTCTGGGATGAGCCATTAACGTTTTAGGTGGACTTTCGGAGACATGTATGAAGCGCACATGTAGGGCAAATGTTAGATACCTCGAGGTTTAGGATTAAGAGTTGCTCTTGATTATCTTCCTTCCTTTCCTCGCTCCACATGTAGTGGCATTTTGGGTGCTACACTAAAGTATCATACCAAGAAACTACAACACACCCAAAGTGGCATCTACATAGGAGCCTCGGGGCACCTCCAACCAGCAGCCTCCGTGTGGGTTGCTGTTCTGTAGTCTAACTTATAAGATCGATATGTAATAAATACTAAGGTTTCTTCGTAATGCTAACCTATTGGAAGTTCCTCAGCAGCAGCCCAAATCAGCCTGGGCCACAACAAAAAGCGAACGAATCATGGACAAGCGCTGAAATGTAGCTGCATGCTCCAATCGTAACTGACTACACTGAAACTACAGAATTGCCCTTGAAACATAAATCCCAGGCCCAGGCACTAAGCTCTCTAAACACTACAGTATGCTGTTCAAAGAACTCTCTCACCCTGAGCCCCGGGCCTTCAATGTTGTCTACCGTTCCGCCGCCCCCGAGGGCAGCTGCGCTGCGCGCCATCGCAGCAGCAGAGATAGCGTGCATCAGCCTCCGACTTCAGGCTTTTCACAGCTTTAGGGCTCAGCTGTTGGGGGTTGAGGGGCTGGGGCTTCTAGGCATAACAAGGGCAATTCCTAAATGTTGGCTTAGGAGATCTTAGGAGTATGTAATAAGTGGAAGCTGGGGAAAACCTAGCAACCAAGCCAAACATCTCATGAACCACTAATCCTCTTTGTTTGTGTGGAAGCCTGATACAAACAGACTTCCTGGGAAAGAGTTGCCAGCAAAACCCTAGACAAGGTAGTTTCCCTAGATAGGGGGACCCCGATATAGACCCCAAAATACCATAATCCTTATTAAAGGCACCTCTCAAAAGGGTACCCCTTATCCTGGGAAACCCCCACAGAGGTGTAGAAGCACGCAAAGAGGCCAAGTCCAACGTGCCCAATGTATTCACATCCTAGGCAGGTATGTTACGAAACACTAAAGTTGTCCACAATACGCACTTGTTTCCAGACTAAAGGGTAGTACCTGCTTTTGCATTTCCTTTCCTAGCTCACATCACCCTGCTTTTTGAACTGCAACTTACCTAAGCAAGGCTGCCCACAACAAGAGCAGCTGCTGGCTTCCGCCTCTCATCACGCACGGATATGCGAGCAAACGCCCACGCCGTGTTGGAAATCTCAAGCTCACCAAACTCGCCCCTGGGCCAAGGGTAGTTTTTTTGCTGTTGCATGCTGTTGCATTGGAACTTCAGAATCTCAGGTGTAGGATTTACTGTAGGATCGAGGAGGCAGGCTTATGTTGGGTCCTACGAGCTAGCCTGCAGTTTGTGCATTACCCAAGGTGGTAAACGTCTGCTGCACAAACGTCGTAACACGAAGCATGCTGGCAGTTGTGTCATAAAGCGGGAAGCCACACATACTATCATGAAAGCCCAGCTGGACAAGCTTTGGAAGCTGAGCAAGCGTCATTCGCTCCACCGCCTGTGCCGCTGCGGCACCTGGACTTCAACTTCGTGCGACTCCGTGTTGGAGTTGAGGGTTTAGGGGTCAGGGTTTAGGAGTTTGGGGCTTAAGGTGCTGAGAGTTGCTGACATACTTCCCCCTGCACAGGAATACGGGAAGTCCTAACCACATCACTGCTGTTTCCAACCAGGCGGGGCAAAACTACTCATGAATAAAGTTTCCGTATGAACCATAAGGGAAATACACCGCTAGCTCATACATCCACGAATAAATTTCACCTATAGCACCATAAAGAAAGCTAACGCTTATCCGAACAATTTTCACCTGCTTACTTAAGGGGGAGAGGGGGAGGTCTCTATAGGAATCCCAAATCCTCCTACTATACCTGTACCCATTCCCCCCTAAACCCCAAACCCGAAATACTATGGTAATCTCCATGCTCTCTTCCACCCCTAGGGTGCCAGCAAACCTGACTAGAATACAAACTAATTTCCATTTCATTTTCCATTATCCCCGAATATAACCCAATATAATCCCTGCATAACCCCTATATAACCCCATTATAGGGTATTGGAGAAATCCGAGGCGAGCTCTCAGAAGTGGGTTGTAGCGCAGGTTCAGAGTCGCAAACCTTGACATCGCAGGCTAAGGCTTACCTTGACTGGGTTGCTCTTAAAGAGCTGAAAATAGATTACCATGAAATGGATATGTGGTGCATGGTAGCGGTTCCTACGGGATAGCGGAATCTACATGAGTCCTGTAGGTTCTTATGAGACCACTGCTGTGGGCCGGGGATCATCTAAGAACACCTTTTTTTGACGCATGGAGTTGGGTAGGGACCACCTAAGAACCTACAACACAATTCCTTTTCCGGGGTACCTCATTGCCCTAACCATTGAACGAATTCCCCACTCCAGGGAACTATGGTGTAGGGTCTAGGTCGGGTTGCGAATGAAGACTGCCCAGCCTCTAACCAAGGTAACTCGCAACCTTAACAACTGTCTATGATACCACAAACGCTTTTTGCGGCAACGGTCCGCTGAAGGGTAGGGCAGTGTCCAAGGTTCAGGGTTCCCTTGTCAGGCTTCCCCAGCTTAAGGTAGCGCTGAGGCTCAATTTCTGCCTACCGCTATCGCTTGGACTTACCTGCTGCCAATATAATTCATGTGAAGCCATTCTTGCTCAGAAGCTGGGGCTATACTATGCTTAACAGGACTTTAGCGGGAACCCCAAACAGGGAACCTCAGTAATGTAGTAGAAATATTATGTAAGAATACACGGACCCTGCTAATTATACTCCTACCAAATTCTGGGGTTCCCATTCAAGTCACATGACTGCTTCTGGGCGCAGGGATTAATTAGGCTCGACAATACATGTCATAGGGGAAGCACGAACAAGGGCAACGTTGAAAGCAGTCTCCACTGGTGACCAAAGTGGTTAGCCCGCATTCAAGCTTATCAGTTTTTTGGAGGGTTGTACACGAACCCCTTGCCGCTCTAGAAAGGGTTTTCCTAAACGGTGACCCATAAAATCTCCGCATCATCCCTGCCGTGTCCATGTTTTGAAAAAAAAAAGTGCCATGTTCGGCCTGTAGACATCGCGGGCCTTGCTTCTTTCGTTGGTTCTGCCCTGAACCCTACTTTTGGGCGGGGAAAGCAAGGTAAAATGAAGCTATTGGTTGGGTGACAAGGATTAATCGTATGCTTACGAAGTCCCCCCGACCCTTCAAGGACCCTCCAAGTAAGCCCCAAGACCCAGGATTTGCAAAGCATCAGCCCCTCCATGAAGCTAGGGAACCACTCCAGTTGAAACCCTGATTGTCCTTCTTGTGCTTTTATGCAGAAGCTTCATAAGCAATGAACCGAGGTATGCACCATGTCCTCAAACTACACACCAAACTAAACAAACCAATACTAATACATACTCCAATTAAATGTCTAATCTCTTGTCCACTTGATATTTGTCTGGTGGTAATCCTCATTTCTTACAGGCTAGAGCGTTGCCTTGAAGACTGTTCCATCACTATAATATACTAGGGATAGTGGAAAAGAAAATGGAGCCTACTGTACTATATTAGGGTTATATGAGCCATGGTCTAAACTCCTAGTATCCCCCTTAATATCCCCTATAGTAGTCCCCTATATAATCTCCTATATAAGCCCCCTTTAAGGAGTTTAGAATATGGTACATATAGGGATCATGGAAAAGAAAACGGAAGCTACTACTCATACGAAGAATCCCGGGGCTTCTAAAAAATGGCCGGTTCAACCCCGCAAGCTTCATCCTGAATCCCGGGCACTTAAGGAAAACAGAACTACCTAGGGCTAAGTAGGGCTAATGAAACCTATGGGTTGTTTTCAAAATTATGGGCCCCTTTTGGTTACAGAATATATTACGGCACCTAATATTCGGGAAACCAAAAAGGGACCGGAATTCTTGGGAACTACCCTTATAGGGGATGCAAAGGGTCGATGAAGCTATCTTTGAAGTGCTGAGCTCCACGCGTCCAAGCCATGACCGAAAGCTCTTGCCTCAGAATTACAACCCAGACCCCTGGGAGGATCTAAAAATTAGATCCCCTATACAGACCCATTATAACCCCTATATAATCCTCATATAATTTCCATATGGTTCTAGGGGATCTAATTTTTAGATCCCTTTGGGGGTCTGGGAAGGCTTTAAAGCAAGGATCCAGGTCAGGGTAGGTTTAGGGTTTAGGATTCGTATTTTCATGGCTTTACAAAGCTTCCGTAGGGCACCAGAGTAATCAAACTTGGAAAGCATATCCAAACCTTTGATCCTCCTCCGTACCTCCCAAGATGTTGTACCTTCCCACTTGAATACACCCCTCTGAAGGCCATCTGTTCAACTGTGAGAGGTATTTACTTGCAGAGACCTGATTGAAGGCGTGTCCCTTGTCCTAAGTTTTGAATGTAACTCCCCTGTACCTCCTCCCAAACCATATACTGCAGAATGTAATCCAAAGGGCGATAACACATGACAAAATATCATCAAATAACAGCGCCATCTGTCAATTTCATCTTTTTCATTATGAGCAGTGTTGGTGGGGAAAAACTGGAAGACTCTTCGAAGGAAGTCCAAGGGAACTTAATTAGATCTGCAAACTCAGGGCAAATTTATGGGACCGCCGATGATGGGGCCTCCTGGAGGATTCCTAATGACTCCATGCCATGAACGCGTGAGCCAAGAATCCTATACTTGCAGCAATATGGCTGGCTTACAAGGTTGACGAATTTAAGTACCGACAGCTGGTACCAAAAGGCATGGTTTTCAGAAACTGATCGCATAGGCCTTCCCCACCATGGCCACAAAACTGGACCAACATGCACTCAACGGTTCTGCAGTGACAGAAGCCGGGAGTGGGATTTAAGACTCTGCGGATGCTGACTTACGGGTCCATCTTGGGATCAACATAAGGCTCTAAACCCTAAACCCCAAGCCCTAAACCCTAAACCCTAAACCCTAAACCCCAAGCCCTAAGCCCTAAACCTTGAGGCAGGATAGGGCAACCCGGATGTTTGCGATGAGCCCCACACTTGTTCAGCTCGGTGACGTGGTCCATGGCCTTTACAAAGGAGGGTTTAGGATCCTAGGGTTTAGGGTTTTAGGGTTTAGGGTTGAGGGTTTTAGCATTTAGGTTTCTGGGGTTTAGGTTTAAAGGTTTAAGGTTCAGGGTTTGGGCGTTTAAGTAGGGTACTGCCCCCACGCAGTAGCAATCTATAAATAGGAGTCCTATTAAATATGTATACATGTGCAAGGTGTGTGTGTGTGTGTATATGTTTTTTATTTGTACATACACACACATATATACATAAATAATTGAATTGCTGCTGCGTGGTGGTAGGGTGTTCGGACTCAGGCATTTCTCAAGGCTTTAAGCTGTAGATGTTCACCAAATCTCTGCAAAATTGTACTCGCACCCCTTCTGCGTACTTTTGAGCAGTGTTTGAATTGTGCTCGCGCCAAAAAATCTAGAAGATCATCCACATTCTTCCTACAAAATACTATGCCCCCAAAGGAGGAAACGATCTTACGCTGTGTTGAGGACTCTTGCAACCC